ATTCAGGTCCACCATAACCTGTCAACTCTTTGACTGTGAACGACGTGTGGGGTAGGACAGCTAATCAATACCTGCAATGGTATTCCTGCATAATGATGGCCTTACTTCAATGAGATGATCAGTGCACTCTAAGTGCTCTTGTGAGTTTTTTTTTTTATAAGCGCAACTATTCTTTGGTTCTACAGCTCACAACCATTTGTACGCAATCAATTAGTAAAATGGTCTATCACAGTATAATAACATATAGTTTAGCGATGAAAATTAGCCTGGTTCTCACCCATATACATGTCTCAAGAAAGGGAGGGTGCTATAGCCACTCTGTATTTCTAAAAGAGGGCTATTTTGCGCTGAAACGAAACGAACTGTAACAAGAACAAAAGAAAACATATACTAACGAGACAAATTGATACGTCCTTACAATGACCTATATCAGAAAAATTAAGCAGTTGCCGCGCTAATTCCTTCGTGAGTTGTGCCAACGTAATGCAATAACAAAAAAAAATTACTTGTCTTCAGCGCTTCTAGAAGATGTGGACGTTGATTGTTCCATTGGGCACGAAAAAATATTAATGTGCACGCTGGTATGCTACGAGCTTTGCCGTCTGGATGCCTCGGTAAACGAGCCCTCTCGTGGTGGCTGGGCGCACGAGGCGCATTGCATTTCTTCGCTGGGGAGTGCAGTGATTGGGACGCGTTCAGAGAGAAACCCGCCGGCGCGTGCTCTCGGAGGCCATGCTCCACGTGCCACAGCTTTCAAAATATTTCAGAACATTGGGCTGTGCACAATCGACACTGGCCGATTCCCTAGCGTGGATGTGTGCCCCAAATAGTCTGCTCTACTCTACTCTACTTGAAGCGCGCTGCTCAAACACAAAGAAGTAGCAACTCTGACAATTGTTACTTCAGGTTGTCTTCAGTGTGATCAGAAAATGAAAAAAAAAAAACCAAGGCCAGCCAATACGAAAATCAATAAAAGACTAAAAAACATGTTGCGCCTTACATAAGAAAACTTTGTTGACAGTAAAAGAGGCCCAGTGAAGCGGGCTTATGTCCGTTTCAGTACGCGGCCGATACACTCGGCGTGCTCTTCATGGAGAATGCCATCATTCCCTTTCAGTGTATATATATTTTTTTCGAAGTCTAATTAAGAAGGAATCCCCGATGTTGATGCGAATACCAGCTTCTTTCTTTAGTGATTATGGTTACCTCGACCCAGTCAATGTTACGATTGGAAGTAGGCTATGTGTTCTGCAATCGCCTTAGATACGAAGTTCCCTTTCCTGCATGACGTCATTGATGTGATCTTTCAGTCGTCTTTTGAAATTTACCACTCTCTCCGCTCCAAATAAGGTCACAGACTACACTGAAATTCTATAGCCCCTTCAGACGCGAATTATGATCCACTGTCAGCAGAATGTGTCAGATTTACACTTCAAAAAAGAAAATGAAGGGACTGTTCTGTTTTGCAGAGTCTCAGTAAATTATTTAATTAAGTATTTATTTATTGACAACTCAGACAGCGTCAGTTTTTGCACAAATATAATAAAATATTAGGCCTAAATGCAAGCACAGTTTGTTTTTTGGTTGCAATCATTTCAAGAAAAGGAAAAAAAAAAAAACTGTTGACGTGGGTTTTGGAATAACTGGTCATGAAATATGGTAGTATTGCCAGCAAAGTGATTCTCTGCAGCCTTACTCAGCATAAAGAAGCCAAATGACCACTATTTGTCCACTCGGGAAGCCTGCACGAATGTGCACACCGCGTTTCAAGCAATTTTAATAATTACAAGGCATGCCTCTAAATTCGATGCGTGAAATTATACACGCTGCCGCTGAAGGGTTAAACAACGCTCAGGAACCTTTATTTCTTGAGCGGGTTCTTCACGTGCACCAGTTCACATTTCAGTTTGCGGGCAGGAATGTATACGCGCGGCGTGTGAGTGGAATTTTCGCAGAACCCTTGCCAACGCTGCACTAACACCTGTCACACAGGGAACGCACAAGTGGGTAACCAGGGGTGGCGCCAGGATGTTTTTACTGAGGGGGGGCAACCACGAAAAGTGAGTTCCTCCGGGGGGGGGCAAGCTAGCTCTGCTCCTACTAGGTTTTCAATATATGCTTCCGGGCACTTGGGTGGGCATAGGGGGGGGGGGGGGGGCAGGCGAGAATTTGGGGGGGCTCCAGCCCACCCTTGCCCCTCCCCCCCCCCCCCTGGCGCCGCCCCTGTGGGTAACCCGGCTTTGTCTTCGATTCATAGATCTCATGTGAAGTGCTCAGGCTTCAAATCAAGTGATCAATACAGGACTGGCACAAGGCTAGCAATGTTTTGAATCAGGTCAAAAGAAACGAACTATGTCTGAAATAATGTATTTAACAGGTATCACCAAGATTTAATCGCGATAGTCAACTCAAGATCGCTGAAAACGCTTTGAAAACATGCGCCTGACTCCCATGCCACGCAAAAGGCGGCGCCACCATCTCGCCAAAAGCACGATTGCTCTTCCCACACGCGTACTACTTTTTATGCTCGTTATCGATTTTCCTCTTGTTGCGGCACTTCAGATACGTCTAGTGTGCAGCGAGTTTTGTCAGATGGGTTTCCTCCTAAATGTAGCGACCAGCACCCGACGAAGTGCGCGTGGGAGGGAGGAGCTACCATGCTTTTGACTTAGAGTTAATACAGTAACTCTAGTTACTCTAGTTACTGTATATGCTACCCAAAGGTAGCATATACAGTAACTCTACTTTTGACGAGGTGGTGGCGCCTTCCGTGGTGAGGCACAAAAGTCAGGCGCATGTTTTCATACCGTTTTTTTTTTTTGCGATCTTAAGTCAGTTATTGCGAGTGTTTCTAATATTTTTTCCCGTTAATTCAATTATTTTACGCATTGTTCGTTCATTTTAGCCCACATTTGAGCAATCGGAGAATGCACGCCACGGCGAATGCATGCGTCAGTGTTTCCGCTCGGCAAACAGCGGCGCCGCTGAATACAGTGTAATTACAGGCGCGACAGTCACGAGACAAGAGTGGGAATGTCGCGGAGCGCCTCCGCTGGCTCCACTGCCGGCACGCGGACTTCTGTCTGAACAGACAGGCAGATGTGGTGGTGGCTGAGGGCAGACAGGGTCTGTAAGTACGACGACGCACGTGTGTGGAGGAAGAGCAGGCGCTCTTTAGTAGGTTAGCTTTCACGGCAGTGGCGATAAAAAGATCAGAGAGATATTCGGTCAGCGGAAGAAAAAAAATTCGGGGACCCTTAAGCTTCGCCTTTAAGAGTTGAACGCGATAGCGAAGTCCGGCTCCTAAACACCCTTCAACCGCTAAGTGCCTAGTTATTTACGCCCTGCCACGGTGGTCTAGAGGTTAAGGTACTCGGCTGCTGACCCGCAGGTCGCGGGATCGAATTCCGGGACTGTGGCGGCTGCATTTCCGATGGAGGCGTAAATGTTGTAGGCCCGTGTACTCAGATTTGGGTGCACGTTAAAGAACCCCAGGTGGTCGAAACTTCCGGAGCCCTCCACTACGGCGTCTCTCATAATCATATGGTGGTTTTGGGACGTTAAACCCCACAAATCAATCAATGCGTACTTATTTATATGTTTTGTTACATACACACGCGCGCACACAAACACGCACACAGTAGATTGGACCAGCGCGCTCTATTATCGCCGAATGGGCTCGTTTTCGCCACGACGCCTGTCGAACAAAATGCGTTAAAGGGGCCCCGAAACACTTTTTCAAGTAACCACGGTATGAATTCACTAAGGAGCTTATTGTCTCACGAATTCAACGCCGAAAAAATTTTAAGAATCCGTCCAATGCGAGTGAAGTTATAAATGTTTGTCGCACGCTGCAATTGCATTATCTCTTCTCTCATCCCCACAAAGATTACTTGGATATAGGTCAGGTATCGCACATCACCTCTGTCAGATGGGAGGCGGCAATCCGCAGCTCATCCTTGGCAGATCAGCTCTGGGCTGTCCACCAAGCCCGCGAGGCGGCTGAGGAGCTTGGCATCTCAGTCCCCACGTGGGAGCTGCCCGCAACACAGTGATCTGTGTTTTGGAGGACCAAATAAAAGTTTATCCAATCCAATCCAATTCTCTCATCCCGACGAAAGCGCTGGAAGCTAAGCAGGGAGGGGTGGCAGGGCAAAGAAACTACCGTGCCTCGTGAGCACTTTTTTTTTATTCGAATGCGTGGCTTTTTTTTAGTGTGATCGGGCGTGTTAGCGTGGACAAGTAGCGGCCTCCCGCGGCTATCTCGGTAACTTAATTTTTCGGTCACAGACGCACAGACGATTTTTCGCTCACAACCAACGGGGCCGACGCTGGCGGCGGGTTTCCTGCGACACGAGCTCTTTAATACGTGGACTATTCATAAGAGAATAGGTTTACCGAACATCCCGGATTTAGTTAGCTTGCGGGACTGTCCCGACTATGGTCTCGAGTCTCTCACCGTCACTGTCGGTACAGCTAAATTTTCTGGATATGTTTTATGTCATTCAGTTAGAAATTTTATGTGATCCAAGGCCCTCCCAAAAAATGCGCGCACGCTCCGGAAACTTTCGCTAGGACGAAGAAAGGTTGCAGTGGCCATGACGGTGAGAGGCTTTAGCTACTTCAGCTGAACTTACGCGTGAAGGGCGACAACTTATACGAGTACATCCTTCAGTAAGAGGAAACGCCAGTTGAAGTATCACTTCAAGAACCCCAACGATGAAATAAAAACAATTGATCGACGTCTCGCCAGCTTCGTACCTCTTTAGTGTGAGCGTGGCGTGACCCCCCCCCCCCCCCCCCCACCCTTGAGCATTATGAACGGGCGACAAGCTGGGCATCAAAAGTTCTGTGCACTTAAAAGCTTCGTACTCATCACCACTGGTTCTTGAATGCTGGACGTGTGTTTCTTTTTTGCTTTTGTGTGACGGGACGAAACTGCCTCCGCATTGTCAAATGATTGCTGTTAAAGGCACACGTTATTATGCAGCACCGGAGTGCGGCGTGCGCCCGATGCGACCTCTGGGCCGCATCGTGGGAGGCCGCGCCTCCAAACCGGGCGACTATCCCTGGCAGGTGGGCATCAAGTACCGCAGTGGCTTCCGCACCATTCACCTCTGCGGTGGAGCACTTATCGCCGACAGATGGGTGCTCACAGCGGCACACTGCTTCCAACAGTAAGGCGCAGGATTAACGTTTTGTCATTCAGACACCGTTGTGAATGAGGTGTCGGGTATGAGAGTGGCCTTACGTATTAGTACATTCGTAATAATTCAATAATTCTGCACGTTTTAACGAAACTGCTCGGGTTTATTCCGTTAATTACTCTCGTTCTAAATTAAAGTATATCGATCAAAGCATGGTGAGTGATACTCTCGGACAGCAATGGTCAGCATATCTTTTTTATCCATGCTATAAAAAACGACGTAAGGCACTGAGCAAACTGTAGAAAAGTCAGCTTAATATTTTATTTTTGCTTCCCATAGTATTGCGGTAAACGCTAAAACCTTGCATATATAGGTACGGCATCAGAGCAAGTAGCTGTAGGAAAGGAGCGTGGAACGACAGACCACATTGAAAACGTGAGGTCATTAAGTGAAAATTTTAAATGACACCTAAGCACCCGGGATGATTGCAGCAACGATATTTGTACGCCGCGGTGGTGTTGCTGTTAGTGGTGATGTGGCTGTTGATGCGAAGGACACGGGTCCGATTTTGGTTGCGGTGGTTGTATTTTGATGACAGCGAAAGGCTAGACGCGTTTGTGTTATGTAAATACAAATTAAAGAACACCTGATAATCGAATTGCCCGGAGCCTTCCGCAAAGGAGTCCCTCATACTCTTATCGAGAATAGTAATACCTCAGGTATTATTATTATTATTATTATTATTATTATTATTATTATTATTAGTAGTAGTAGTAGTAGTAGTAGTAGTAGTAGTAGTAGTAGTAGTAGTAATAGTAGTAGCTGCTACAATTTCGACACGGTGAAGCCTACAAGTTCTGTAGATTCCTCCCAAATATTTTACAATTCTACACAGGAACCACTATGTACAACAAAAGGCGCCAGTCAAAGCAAATGCTGGCAAGACAGAGTACGTTCAGTTTTAAAAATTCTACTGACTTCTACATATATATAATATATCCAAGCAGCATACCTGCATTGGACCCAAAGTCGGCAAACATCGGCTAAATATTGGTTTCACATATACCAGTTGTTTGTTTACCGAAGGTTCAAAAGAAACATTGGGGTGAAACAGTGCGGATGATAGGACGAAGCATGTACAGAACACAACCCTTAATAAACGGTTTAATGAACGGGACGTGAGCACAAATATCAGGTGAAATGTCTGTGAGTTGTGAGAACACATCGGCACTCATATGCGGGTGGATCGTCAAGTGTCAAAACAATCACGTCAGAACGATAAAAGGGCCGCTGTTTTCTCACTGTGGCATGGCGGTAAAATCGCATCCTTCCACAGTATCCGAGTCCGTTTTTCCCCAATGACTATCGACTGACTGCTCAAGGGCGCCTATACCGCCGACGCCGGCATTCCGAACGAGGGAAAAAAAACCACTGGCCGTCTAACAAAGGATAGCTGCCGGCTAGAAGAAGACGCCTACGCTTCTTCCGAGGTCGCGTCATCTACCACCCCCCTGTACCCCTCAGTTTCAAAGGCACTGAAAGCGCCGGAACCGCTGTTGCACCATCGTGGGCGGAGCAGCCGTCGAGTGACAAGTGTTTGATGACCAGTCACCGCCGCCGATGCCGAGAGCAGTGAAACGCCAAATTCATGAGCAAAACATGGCGTCGCACTGTTTGTCCGGACACCGAAACGCCGAGGAAATTTATTTGAAGTGAGCACGTATGGTAGGCTGAGGAGTAGCGATTGCAAACTCAAGAGACAGCTCATTTGGGGAACAATGGGCGATACCACAGTCTTAGACGGCACGTCGCAATAGCACGCACGCACACACACACACACACACACACACACACACACACACACACACACACACACACACACACACACACACACACACACATACACACACACACACACACGCACGCGCGCACACACACACACACACACACACACACACAAACAAACAAAAGCTTTACGATACTGTAATCCAGGCAGTGTACGTGTAGCAAACATGAAAATACGTGGTCACATGAAAACTTTACAGTGCTCGCCGTTAGCTCAACTATCAGAAAAGTGCACGCGTACAGAAAGTGCGCCACGGTATAACGGCCCATTGCTGAGGAAACTATAGATTTCCATTTTAGTTTGATGATCAACGCTATATAGACCTTTAGGTGTTCTTTTTAAATACAGTTTTATACGCTAGCTGTATCAGACAAGCAAAGGTCACTTTTAACGAGCATAACAAAGTTTAAATTTATTGCGTTTGCATTTTCTTTCTCAGAAGTATTTCTAGCAGCTCACAAAACTTGCATCAGTACTTGGTACTTATTTTACTTCCCATTACGCAACACCTGTGAAACAAATTTTGTGCAACTATTTAGCATATGTTTTGTGCCACACTGTGTGCCAACTTAGTAATAGTCAAGAGCCTGCGTGAGCTATTGTTGCCTTCCATTGAAAATGGAAGTTCCGATATTATTTGTTGACTGATAACAATGGGCCGTTTTTGCTCTCTTTATACAACGGTTCAACCCATGCTGTATGCTGGCGGGCAATGGTGTTCCATTATGGCTGTGCCAATATTTTATGCTGCTTGGGAAGGATGCGCCTTTGTTTTCATCCTAGTATGATGATGGTGGCAATATTGCATGCCAGCTGGCTAACATGGGCCTTTGTTGCCGTCCTTGTACGATGGCGATGCCAGCATTACATTTTGGATGGCTTCAGTGGACCATTGTTTGCATCCTTGCAGACTGTCTTTGCCAACGTTGGTTTTGTACTGGCTTGACTGGGCCTGCACTAATGCATCGCTTGCCAACGTATAAACAATACTTAGTCAATATGCTATGCTGCATATGTACTAAGAAATTGGAGTCTCGATAGCCGTGTACAGTCGTAGAGGTGAAATGAGGAAGGGAAACTAGTTGTCAGTCGATATAAGAAAGGAAGAAACGGAAATGCCTGACGGCGATAAAGATGTACGGTCCACGTTTCTTACCCGACAGTGCTCGGCCTCGTAAGTCTCAGGTGGTTCGAGAAGCTCAACAGTATCCTCTCTGTCACTGGGCTGATGCACCACTGCAGCCACCGTGGCCGACGCGTCTAGTATTCGGTGAGTTGGCAGGTTGTGCAGAGGATGAATCAGTAGAGCTGCAGTCGCCAACCACATTTGCTTTAACGAGTGCCATTGAACGGTCGGCAACTCTTTGGAGTCACGATACAGCATGATGTACGTCATTGAAAAGCTGACAAATTTGTTCGCTGGATGGTGCGAAGCACCTGTGGGAATTTATGAGCCCCAGAAACTGGCGCATCATTCGGGAAAAGGCCTGAGTGAGGACGTCGTGAATTATCCTCACCTAGAAGTGGCTCGATGCTTTGGGATGGAATGCGGTGGACGACAAATTCAGCGCTGTATTTTTTTTTTTTTTGAGCTTAAGGATGAAGCCGCGCGTTCATCAAACTGCATATATATACCATATATTTGCAGCTTAGCACAAGCCACTCTGTACTATAGTTGCTTAAATGGAGCGAGAACCTACTTGTGTCTGCCGGGATACCGATGTCACGAAGAAATTTCAAATAACCACTAAAGCTTAACTGCTTTAGTATGTTCGGGATTGATTGCGGATGTTTCACAAATGCGCGAAGTACCAAACTGTGCCGTGCAGTGCTATAATAGTGAATCCCGGTTGTATAATCACCTGTATCGCATGAAGTGCATTTCATGCCTGAGCTTATATTTGTTGTTCGCAATTCACACCTTAAGGCCGACACATCGCTTTTCTGGTTCATATAGTCGAAGGAACATATCGAGGTACATCTTCCGCCTCGGAGACTTCAACAAAAGTGTCATGGAGCCAGGGGAGGTCCACGCCAAAGGGGACATGGTGAGTCATTTATTCTCTCCAACAGGATTAACTAAAGAGCTAATTTGTGTTAAAGCAAATCACAGCAGCGTATGACGATGTAATAGTAGTTAGTGACAGAACTGCATCATACTTCTCAAGGCGCAAGTATTCGAACGCCACCAGTGACAAAGACAGAAAATTGAAGGGGCGTATTACAGACCAAAGATTACCCCGATCGACACTAGGCGAACAACTTTGCTCTTCTCCGGTTGGAGCTTGGCTTTCCGATATGTGTAGGTCCGTAACGGTGCATATTTCTACACACAGGTACTGTTACAAAAACGACTTGGGCTTCGCACCATGCCTGATCCAGGTCTAATAAAAAACAAAGCCCTAGCCCATGCCGGGCTCGGGCTGTCACACTATTCGAAGCCCGTGTCTACCTTAAGTGAACGCATCACGTTCCACTTCGGCCACGGATTCGAGAATCGACGAAACGATGTACCGTACTGAGTGTTCGCATTGCTACACGTTCGACTGGCCGTATTCCGTTCAGTCGTGAATTAATGGTGCACTGTCTACTTATATGTCGAATTCACATACCACAATTTTAAGGCACACAATATTACTTTTCAAGAAAATAAACAAAGTAATGGGCTGTTTAGTGTGAGTTTTAGTAATTAACTGTAATTCGCATGAAGTGAAAAAGTGAAATACCTGCATTTCATTATTCTGCTGTCAGTCATGTTTCATTTTAACTAGGAAAGAATGGCATCACGAGCTTCAAATGTGTACGACAACTTGTTTGGTCTCATTCACGTCGAGAAAAAGAAAGTACTACCTTTCATTTAGGTTATGCAACGCGGCACGCACACACTAGCCGTCTATCACCGTAGCGAGTTTATCAAAGTGATCGGCTACAGCCGTACGCAGCACACTTGGGTGAAGACATAATAACTACGCAGAGTGTTTAGTGCGTCTAAAGGGTAATGCATCGGGGCTAATACATGCAAACTTGCCGTGTCCAGTCTTTTCTTTTTCACTTTTATGTAATCGGCCCATTACACGTGTGCCTTGTGCAAACGCATGCCTTGTGTAATGCCTTGTGCAAACACACGGTATTACACAAGGCGGTAAATACACGATGCAGTGCCACGTGTAATGCTTTGTGCAAAGCACACCGCAGTGGCTAAGAGCTTTCCAGATTATTTTAGAACCTTCCAAGAATATTATGTGCAGAAAGAGAACATTAGAGTTTATTGTAAAACTTCTACCGCCACCGCCAATAATGCTTAGGTCTCCTATGGCACATGTTTAAATGCCGACTCGCTTTACCACTTGGCAGATTATTTGACATCAGGCTGTTATAGGCGTTAGAGCGCTGTCGGCGACTGTGTTCATCTTCAACGTCGTTCTTAATATAATAGCGAAGCTTTTTGACCAATACTTGCATACGCAAACCGTACTAAAACTATCATCGTCGTGACTATCATCATCATCAGTGCTTACACCGCACTCTACTATAAAAGTAGTAAAGGTCTGCAGTCCTCTGTGGGGACCTAAACTATGTTTATGCATGTCACAACGCTTCAGGAACTTGAGAGGCAAAGCTAGTAGCTTGAGCTTTGAATGCAGGAAGGCGTTCCATTAGGCACTAGCACGTCTCTCGCGGATGAGAAAACCTCCGATTCACTGACACTATTCTGAAGGGCTCTCTGTCGGCGCTGGTATGCCGTGTTTCATTTCACCGATTCTACGTAGTGACATCACCCTCACCAAACATATCATCGTGAATGGGAGGAGGTGGGAGAAATATAAATCGCTTTCCTAAGAGCCTCAGGCATGAGCGTTGTTAGGGTATAGCGTCCGGTGCCTTTAGTAGCGAACCTATATGTCGAAGTGATTCACATAAAAAACAGCGCCAATAATGAGAGACAATAAAGAAAGGAGACATACAGCGGCACTGTCTTGTCCCTCGTTATTGGCGCTGTTTTCTATGTGAATCATGCCGTACCAACTCGCCCAAGCAACCACGTTAGCTAAATGTCGAAGGTTCGACTGCCAGGTTATCCAAATAAACAAAACTGGCAGTTTCTTTTTTTTTTGCGTGTGTGTGTAATATGTGCGTGTGCATTTTAACGACGTCAGGTCCTCGCCGGAAACGATGTCAGTGAAGTCTTGCTGTACATCGGCGTAAAACAGTCTCACGCTAATATGAAGACTCATCTTGCACCGAGAAATAACATCGCTGGATTTCTTATCTGGTGATGGTGAAAAATGATTACGGCACATGAACACACACACACACACACACACACACACACACACACACACACACACACACACACACACACACACACACACACACACACACACACACACACACACATGTTGTATCTTTCGTGCGAAGTAACGTGCTGTCCGTCAAAATGACTATGCGCAGATGATCACGCACGGCAAGTTTGACATTCAGACGTTCCGAAACGACATCGCATTGGTGCGGTTGGCGCAGCCAGTGGACCTGGAAGGAAAAAACGCCAATCTGCAGACTGTCTGCCTTCCCGATGGCAACAGTATGGACTTCTCAAAGGCTCGCTGCATGGCCACCGGCTGGGGAGAGACGCAGTTCAGTGAGTTCCAACGCGTGGCTAAATATTTTAGGCAATGTCCGATAGAAATGCGCAGCTTCGCGGGACTCATCATTGTCAAAACAGTACATTTTTTTTCTCGTTCCTTTTTATGCCACCTTACCGCGTACCATTATGCGGTAATACACTTAAAAAATAAAGCAAACTGTTTTTATATTTAAGATAATGCGTACACGTTCTCTTTCCAAAAAATTGTTCATAGCTACTTTTTTTTACAAATTTCTATGTCAATTTCTTCGCCCCCGGCTGTGGCGGCTGCATTTCCAATGGAGGCGGAAATGTTGTAGGCTTGTGTGCTCTGGTTTGGGTGCACGTTAAGGAAACCCAGGTGGTCGAAATTTCCGGAGCCCTCCACTACGGCGTCCCTCATAATCATATGGTGGTTTTGGGACGTTCAACGCCACATATCAATCAGATCAACTTTTTTTCGCCAGCTTATTCAGTTCATTACCGTATTGTGGTTGTATTAACCTAGACAATTCGTTGGTAGCTACCCCTTCAGTCTTCTTAAGGTGCCGGCAAGCAATCTGGTTTTTTACTCGCACTAACTAAAAAAATATTTCCAAATAGTTTGTGAACGAATGAGGTGATTGGGTGAAGCGTACAAGAATAAGCAGGTTTGCATTTCTGTAGAACCATTCAAAATGGCTCACCGAGCTAAGGAAGATGATCTCCTTTCACTGCAGAGCACTATATGGCTATTCACACAGATTTTCTAATGAAGTCATTCTTTAGCCAACCTCTGAACGCTATATTTCTACCTAATATTGAAAAAAAGCAAATTATAACGTATTATATAATTTGACAAAGTCGTTAGTTTTCACGTGCCCGAACAGGTGCAGCGGCGGGCTTGTTCGTGAGAGCGGCGCTTACACCAGCAAAACTGCTTGCTGCGCTGGGCTTTTACATATTCACTGCGGCTTACCTTGAAGATGGCGGTCAGAGTACTTACGCTCTTCGTGCATATGCAGCAAAGGCCGGGACACGGATAAAGAAGGATGACGAGATGACAGTCAGCACTAGTCTTTTTCCTGTGCTTTTCTTCTTTTGTTGTTTAGCGTTGCCGGGAGTCTTGCAGTTTTCAGTCCAGTGATGACGCAGTTCCGCGGGCAAGCCCCGAACATTACGCAAGCCCCGAACAAGCAAGCCCTTGATTCCGGAGTCGCTGGCTCCATGTTGGCTTGAAATGTGCTACCACCGTCGTAATGTGTAGGTCTTCCAAATTCCACGCTGGTTGTCGTATACTCCGGCAGTTTGGAACGAGACGCCGTCAGCATTCTCGCATCGATTCGCTTGTATTCGTGATTTAAAGGGACACTGAAGCCAAAGATTAAGCTGATGCGGATTTTCGAGACAGTATTTTGAAATCCACGTAGTACATATTTTGTGCCAAAAATGTTCAGTTTTAAGGGAAGTCAACTTTTAGTGGTCCGCATATTTTTAGTGCAATTCGCGCTGCCACCTCCGAGATCGATATTGTGACGTAGCAGGGCCGACAACGGAGCAGTGGTGGCATGAGTGCTTTCGGCAGTAGTTTGACCGTGACATTCTAGTCTACAAGATCGTGGAAGCGTGGAGGGGTTCATTGGATAGAGGGAGGCGGCATGCATTCAATAAATAATAATAAATAAATAAATAAATAAATAAATAAATAAATAATAAATAAATAAATAAATAATAAATAAATAAATAAATAAATAAATAAATAAATAACAGTTCACTTGGTACACATACTGGCAAAGACGAGAACATATACCGCGAACTATATACACAGCTTGATGGGTTTCGGTATCCTTCATGTCAGCAGCTAGTAGACACAGAAACAGAAAACAACCATCTAACCGAAAGTATGTACAAGTCCTGATGACCAAAAGCTTATGATTATGTGGCAAGTGCTATATGCACTTACAAGATAATATTGACAATAAAGGCATATATGTTGAAACTGGCTACAGTAGTGTGAGTGTGAAAGGATAGCACAGATTGACACAATATATGGAAGCATGGCAACACTTGATATTACGGCAGTAAAGATTGCAGAATGTGCCTTTGCAGATGATAAACGAAAAACACCATTTAAATAATCATGAGATGAGGTACTCAAGAAATTTGTCAGAATATAACTAAACAAAGAAAACCTACAGTTAGTGTTACAGTAGCTTAATACAAAACTGCATCGTACCCTGGTGTCATATGATAGGTGGCAAAATAATCAACAGCAATTAAAAAAAAATATTGCGAACGTTTTCTCGTTTTTGTTTTAGAAGAACCCGCATATCTGTAGTCAAATAAGGTGTTTACAGGAACACTGTTATACTGTAAGAAGACAGGCTTAGCGGGTAAATCATACTAAGAATTGCACCATGCGTTTACGTTGGCACAAACCAGAAAACAACCACATAACCAAAAGTATGCGCAAGTCCTGACGACCAAGTGCTGATGATTATGAGGCAAGCGCTATGCACTTACAATATAAAGTTAACTAAAATAGGGCTCGCAGTTTTAGACCAGGAGATAACGTTGTATTGTCCCCGAATGGCAAACAATAGCTTGGATGAGAGGGAGAATGAAAGAAAAAACACTGACCACGAATAAAAGTAACACAAAAACAAGAAGTTTGGCCCCCGCACCACAGCCTTCTTTACAATATTCTTGTTAACAAAATCAGGCTCCCGTGCGAAAATCAAAACGTCTTTCTTCTACAGTGGTTTTGTCTGTAGCCAGTGTTTTTATTTCAATTACATTGATTGATTGATTTGTGGGGTTTAACGTCCCAAAACCACCATTTGATTATGAGAGACGCCGTAGTGGAGGGCTCCGGAAGTTTTGTATTTCAATTACCTTCATGTCTTTTCCAGACCAGACTGCTTCACATCCGACTTCAACTTATCTCTTCAACAGCTGAGGTGGGAATGGAAAATTCATAGTAGCTAGTAATCCTTGCGAAACGATTGTAGACAGCGTTGAAGAAAAAAATATTCTCACGTGTGCATCTCGTGAAATGTCACTGCAGGAGAGCGCTATATATCTCTAATTATCAATGGCTACGCTAGTGTTGTGCATGGTTTTCCTCTCCTCAGTCAGTCAACTCACTAAGCTGGCGAATACATCTTATAATCGTCTTTGCGGTACCTATAAACGTTGATCGTTGAGCACATTGTTTTGACGTTTCTCAGAGGGTCGCCACTCGGACGTGCTGATGGAAGTAATGCTGCCCGTGTGGTCGCACGACAAGTGCGCGAGAGCCTACAGGAACTACAATAAAATAACTTCCTCCATGTTCTGTGCTGGCTACGTGGAGGGGAAAAAGTCATCCTGCAGCGTGAGTATACATCTTTAAAAAAAAATCCGTTGCAATTCAATTACCCAATCACTGCGCATGTATAGCACTAGTACAGGTTTTTTCAACTCTTCTCTCTGCAGGGACACTGAACAAAAATGAGAAAAACCGACGAAAATATCGAGGATTGTTACAGCGCGAGATCAGAACGACGACAGAGGGACAAAAAGAGGATGAACGCTGAAAGACGAGAGTTGAAAGCTAGCGCTCGTCTTCTTTCTTGTCCCTTAGTCGTTGTCGTGATCTCGCGTTATAACAATCGTCACGTCATACCAACTTGCCCAAACAGACACGCTTCTAAGAAAACATCGAAATTCTACTCGGAAGAACGCGATTACTCCGATTAAATTCAGTATATCTCACATATTTTTCAAACACTTGGTTGTATTCGTGCAGGACGAGCCCACCCTGCGCTGCGGGTGTTCACTGCCGGTGCCGTTCGGTGTTCCATATCCCTTTACGTGCCATTTTTAAGCGGACATTGCTAATATGCCTCCTTTTAAAGGGACGCTGAACAAAATGTATGCCACCAATATATTCAGTCAAATTGAAAGATCGGGTGATGTCTTCTTCGGAGGACGTTCTCTTCACGCGCGTTTGCCTTTTTTTGGAATGTAGTCGCTTACTTCTAATGACCAGTGGTTACTACAAGTTAAACACGAAGGCTGAGACCTTATAAGAACAAAATAATTTGATTTATTTCAGCATGTTGCAACGTGTCGTCCTCAGCCGAGGCGGGAGTAAGAGAAGAGCGTCAGTATCTTCACTTGGGCCTGGAGTTGAGCGGCCATAAGGGAGCCGCAGGTGGCGTTACTGATTAGTTATAGGTCACTGTGCTACCGCGTGTCCATGCCCTTGCGCAGCACCTTTCTGTACTTTGCATGATAATTATGAAAGTTATTACTGTTGTCTTCCATCGAAATTCTGTGCCACCTTATGTCGCGCGCTACGCCCATGTCACTGGTCATTCACAATCAACGAGGAAATGACTCGTGATTTTTTTAATTGCATTGTGGTGAGATCAGACTGACGCAGATTTCCTACCTGGCTCTCTGCCGCAGGGTGACTCTGGAGGACCTCTGCAATGTACTTTCGACGAGCGCACTTGGTTCTTGGCCGGAGTGGTGTCCCATTCGGTATACTGCGCGCTACCCAACATGCCTACAGTGTTTACAAAAGTGGCGCCTTTCTTGGACTTCATTCGCGACCAGATGGCGCAGCACTCAAGATGATTAAAGAAACTTATAGGAGTGACGATTGATCACTGTTTCATCATTCCTACCACGGCAGTGAAAGTAGCTGTAGCTCTTCCCGATGAACCCAATGGCACCGAAGCTAAACAAAGTAGAGTTGTTTGTGCATTTGGATTGTCCGGCGTAAGTGTGCACTACTGGCCGATCATCAGAGGTGAACGTTGCCTTGATTCGGTGTCAAAGAAAGTGTGGCCGCTCGTCTGAGCTGAAAGCACCTCGCGACATTTCCGCTGGTATGACGTAGGTCGGGACGCCATGTAACGTATACGATGTGCGTCCTACGCCGACACACGCCACAGAAAAATTTGCGGAGTGCACTAAATATCACGACAGTCACCTTACAAGGAGCCATCCGTCAGGCGCAGCGTTCGTGTCAGCCAGCGGCGGAGGAAGTCCGCGACGCCAGGTTTGCCACGTTATATTGACCTGAAAACAGCGTATTGTATATTCCCACTCACACAACGCCACGTCGCGTCGCCTTGACGCATGCGTTCGACTTAGCGCAAAATCAAGACAGCTGAACAGGTTCCCTCGGAATTCGAACTATGGCGTATTGTAACCGTCGTTAAATTTTCTTTAAATAAATTATATCATTTAGTCTGCTATATATAACTTATAATAAACTAATAATAATTGTTGGGGTTTAACGTACCAAAACCACCATATTATTATGAGAGACGCTAAAGTGGAGGGCTCTATATATTTCAACCACCTGGGGTTCATTATCGCGCGCCTTAATCTTCGCACACGGGCCTGAAGCATTTTCGCCTCCATCGAAAATACGGCTGAGACTGGATCCCGCGACCTGCGGGTCAGCAGCCGAGTGCCTTAGCGACTAGACCACTATAATGGGTTGCGATTTATAACTAATTTTATGCAGTAACGAAGAGTAATGATTAACACAGTAATTGTAACACGTTGCTTTTTAGTGATAATGTGCCCATGACCAATGCCATCACTGACGCCCCGCCGCAGTGGTCTAGTAACTAAGGTACTCGGCTGCTGACCTGCAGGTCGTGGGATCGAATCCCGGCTGCGCCGGCTGCATTTCCGATGGAGGCGGAAATGTTGTAGGCCTGTGTACTCAGATTTAGATGCACGTTAAAGAACCTCTTTGATGGAGGCGCAACAGATTGCAAACTGAAGCTGATCTAGTTATACCTTGGCGACGTTGGACATGGTACTTCCGCGCGCTGCCCACATGGAGGAAGGGCCCATCATGGCAGTGTTTTTTTTTTCTGTCTTACGAAGTGACAACTCCTTGGCCATGGTGCATGTGACACGTCAGTTTGCTGTCACGCTGCGGCCTCATCGGCCGCATACGCGTAGCAAAGCCAAATATTTATCTCCTACTTTGTATAGTTGGGCTAGCCTTTTTTCGTTATTTAATATTTGCCAACTTCCAAATGCAGCTTTGTATAGTTACCATTTTGAATAAGTTGAACATCCATAAGAGAAATGACAAAATTTGTCATTTCATATAGCTCATTTGCTAGGAGTTAGCAAATGAGCTACATGAAAATGTAGCGTTTGTTGCTTGCTAAAGGGCTTTTTTATTTCAATGAGAACGGTCTCAGAATGGAAGTGACGAATCCATCCATAGTTGCCTGATTTCGGCAGATTACGCCGCTTGCCTCGGGTGCAATGAGACGTGTCAAGGCATCTGCAAGCACAAGGATTACCTGCCACTGGAAGGGTTTGTTAGCCCAGTTGGTGCTTCAGCCACGGGCTTGCTAACAACATACGTGGAACTCACCATTGGGTCAATGCAAGCAGTGCTCAAGAACTTCAGTGATCTCGCATACATAATAAAACCATTAGCTAATATAAATGTCGTCCGTCAATTAGAAAGGATGTTGCCCTGCCACTTGTTTGTGAAATTCTTCGCATGTACATTTTATGTAGTGGCAACAAAATGCCAAGGCGAGTTTATTAACTGTGGGATGTACAGGAACACATATTATATGTATTGAAAGGAATGTATGTGAATTCGTGAAAGGTGAACCTCAAGCGGCGTATACTGCCTCCACTCTCATTCGAGTCGTGTTTATTTTGTTCAAAGAACCGTAGAGGTTTCATTGCAAAAGAACGTATTTATTGTATACTTACATGCTCTATTTACGTCCTGATTTTCTGCTCGATTCATATTTTTGTTTTCCTGGGATGGTGTGACGCGCAGCTGTGGGACGGCCTTGTAGCTCGGGTAGAGGCCCGTGAGCACGGTGCCAGGCAATGTGCCGACGGAGACGCCATCCAAAAACTTCTTCCGGCGTGCCTCGCCAATGACCGAGTGGTCACCCAACCTCTCCACAACGTCGCCCTCTCGCAGCCACAGTTCCTTTGGGTGCAGGGACCGGTGACTGCATTCAAGTGTTGCTCATCTTGTACCAGGATAGCATCACCATCGGTACTTTTATTTTTTTGATGCCGTACGGGTTACCGCAATCGCAATCTGCCTCATTGAACAATGTTTCGGTGAGTATACGTGAAAGCAAAAGTTATCATCGAAAGGTGCGAACCAAGGTATCTTTCTAACTAAAGAACGAAAGAGGGTGAATTTTCTTGGGAGGCTGATTGTTATACAAAACTAAGTTAATCCAACAGAAAACTCAGCCGAATAAATATACGGTACAGTAACTGCTGCCTTTGACGACACTGTGGTAATTATGCCGTAAACTGAAATGGGCTAAAGTGAACGAAACGTCCGTGAGTGGGATCCGAATTTACAACGTTCGAGTAGCGGGGAAACGGACGAAGAAGCTCTTTCTGAACGGGAGAGGCCGTGCAGTCGAGCATGCGTCGATCTCCGCATGCTCGAGTGCATGGCCGATGGAGGCGCAACAAACATAGCAGGCGACAACATCGGATGACGATGCACCGCTAGTGACCAATCCATTTGCCGATGTTCGTCTGTTTCATGGAGGAAAAAATGTTCACATCCGAGGCTTTTTCGGAGAACTGCTTTTCATCCACATATTTTGAGCTTTTGCCTAACTTCACTCAACTTCGAACTCCGGAGGAAAAAAAAAAAGGCCGCGGCAATCGTGACGTCTTGGTGACGTCATCGCGATGGTCACGTGGCGAATCGGATTGACCTGCTAGAAAAGGTTTCCGGCTCGCTCGGCATACGCACTTTTTTTTTTTCTGCCGCGCGTCCGCTGGGTGCCCTGGGCTTGCTTTAAAAATGTATATCGGCTCTGCGAGGGAGAAGTAATCGACAACTCAAATCACACGGATACCGAATATTGCAAATTGGTTATGTGTAATCCTGCTATGTGGCGGAAGAGTTAGGAAAAGAAAATTTCAGACCCACCCGTTAGTAGCACACTGACACAAGAAATTCTATACGTATTTATAAGAAATCAGTACTGATTTCCTTGTAGCTTCGTGCTTCCTGCCCGAAAACTGTTTTGGGGTCTGCACCATTGCTTAGTGTCCGAGTGCTCTTTATGCTGTTCAACCGCAGTTAAGTCGATCAACCTGACAGAGGCCACTGACCTGTAAATGGCCCTCCTTGCTGGGAACTGAACAAACGCGTAGAAATAGTCGACGTCCAGCGAGACGAGATGCGCCGAGGCATCGGTTCGCCGTGCCTGCATGAGCTCGTAGACGACGCGACAGACGCCGGACGACAGCGTGCACACCACCAAGTCGCATTCGGACAACAGCACCAAGTCCCTGGCCAACAGCAGCAGCGATTGCAGCGAGTAGCGTGTGCGATGATTCCGCGCCGCCCCTGATGCCGCCTCGTCGCCGATGAATGAGTAGTTGAGGAACCTGCGCCAATACCGACTTCGCTTATTGGCACTGGATATCGCTTCAGTGGCATGTCTTTGAAACAGCGGAAACTACTTATGGGTGCTTTGTAGTCGAAGCATTCATGACACACACGCATATAAAGCATAAGTGGGAACTAACGGACATAATATTGCGCGCTAACAGTAGCTTCACTAGGAACGCCACAGCTGAAGCCTCTCGACAACTATAAGAACGCTAAAGTGCAAAATTCTGGAATAACGTTTTGTGAACTTTCTTTCTAATGACTCAAACTCTGCTACTGCCCTGTCAACCTAGAACTACGAGTAATGTGAGATTCACTATACTGTTACTAACGTGCACTTGCATTACGTGAGTCCATGCGTTAAACATAGTGGTGTACGAAAACTGAGGAACCTAATGGAATACAAATCGAATAGCGATGACACTGAATCAAATATGAACAAGGGCGAACGAAAAAAAAGTAGACTTACCAGTAAACATCATACTACATATATTGCTGAAGATCCATAAAATACTGCTTATATTCAGCATGGGTGTTTTTCTTCTGCTTCGGAGCTTACAGATTTGGGTACAACATACTTTTAACACTTACCAGTGCGATTTCAGAATTGATAACTACGTTATGCGTGTCACTGACTGTTACCGAAAACACTTGAACCAGTAAAATTGCACTTTACCACACACTTGGTCGAACTGTCATTGGGCTTCCCCAGATCGACCAGTCAAGGGCCACGTTCAGGAGCCCAAGGGTCTTGATATTTTTCCTCTATCTATATACTCAAACTTTCGGCATCCCTCATTTTAAACTTCGCACATGACGCCTAGTGTTTAGTGACAGACGAGAAATTCCGGGAAAGTATATCGGACGTCATTCGTAGTAGTGATCATGACTACTTCAAGTAGTTCCTCTCCACCATTTATTTATTTATTTATTATGTTCTACAATGTTCATTTTAAGTTCCTTATAGCTATTCAGCATCGAATTGCTGTCGCCGCATCTGCTCTCGATTTCCTTCTCAATGGTGCTGCAGTCGGGCGGCTTTCTTCTTAGGAGCCCTGACGCTAGTATTCACTATTGCTAAGAAAACTCTGCATCGCTTCCTTTTATACTGCGAGGAAGACGTCTGCCGTTTCCACCTGGCCGTTCTTCCTCCCCTCTAGGATCCGCCAACATCGTCCCTTTTCCTCCCCAGCTAAGTCCTGCTTTACTATCCCTTGCCTGAATCCACTACACAAAGCTAGTGTACGTTCCTGCGGGTCAAGAACTAGGTGATATTGTGTGAGTCGATGTGTCAAACGCTAATTAAAAAGCATGCTTCATATTTCGTAAAAGCAGTAACTCCGACAGACGAACGAAATGTGACCGAGAGATATAGTAATGAAATACGATTTGAACGCGCCTCTGGCGGAGCTCGTGGAAGACGTCCGGCTCATCGGTGGCGACAAACACCCTTCGAGGTACGCGTGGTCCTGCCGCGGCGAAAAATGCCTCGGCATGCTCCATGTACTCCTCGGCGTCGTGGAACGATGCCTCGCTCTCCTTGTCCGTGCGACGCACATGCAGTCTGCGAGCGAACAAAGAAAAAAAAATGTAATTCGCTTGGTCTATATCCTAGCTTGCTTACACGCTGGTCACGCCTGTATACTTCAATAAATATTTTAAAAAGCACTTCACTACCTTATTTTCTCAGCATGCAAAAGATCACAACAAGTTGGGAGATGGTATACCATTGGGAGAGCTTGTTCGAAGTACCCTCTCCTGTGTTGTTTCTTGCAAAATGTGCTGCCTTTTGACGTTATCGTATGTGGGAGTTATGTGGGCCTCTGTAGGAGGAGTGCTTGGATAGTGCTTATGCGTGTAAAAGGACCCCCACATAATCTGCATCAGCATTAATGGCAACTGTGGTGTGGAAGACACTGCGCCTCAGTGAAACTCCTTCCCCCTCCGCAACTCCCGCAAGTCAACTGAAACCGAAAAGTAGGTCAGGTAAATCAGCGCTAATAAATAAATGACAAGTAACAGAAGAGAGGATATGAAAAAAAAAAAGACGCTCTTAGTGGCGGCATTCCGTTGCTTCCTTCTTTCGTTCTACGAAGAGTCTATACTACGTATCGACGTGCCTGCGTTTTTATAGAGATTTACGAGAAAACATTTTCGGCTCCTCTCAAAGTCACTTATCCACGCGTTGGGCTCTTGCTGCGTAGTGAATGATTACAGTGTAAAACGCAGCTCAAAAATATGATAGAGAAGATGAAGGAGGACACATGACAAGCACTGAACTACTGACGGTCGTCTTTATTAAAAAAAATAAATAGAATAAATTACTCTACGTGCATACCCTCAACGTTGGAGATAATTGCCAGGCTTTTTTTTTTTTCAACTGGACTGATTTCACAATCATGAAGATAGATGAATGGGGCCAAAATGCAATCATCGTGGTCTTTCTTAATGTGAAGAGCTTCGATAATTCCACACCATCTTTCATACGGTAGCTGCATGCTTCCGTGAGCACCTTCAGAGATTTTCAAGAAGGAGGTTCTGGCCACTACTGCTAGCACAGACGCTGGTAACATAGATGCCTTTACTCTCCCACTCTAAGCTAAAAATCTGGCCTATGTTTAATGCGGCCTGGATCAGCATTCTGTTCCATTTAGATAAGCTCTCTATTGGAAAAATGACCTTCTCCCGGCATGCAGTTAATGAGTAAAAGTTAGACCTCTTCCATAGTCATTGAACTTTTCAAAAAAAAAAAAAGTCCACACAATTGCGATTGTTCAGAACCACCACTTAATTGTCTACATATGTGAACTTTTAAAACACCGTCATTTGTGAAAATCATGCTTGGCGAAGTGAGATAAGATTGTAAACACCAGGGAGCAGAGTATATAGCTGACGGTAAACCAGAGCTTTGGAGTAAAAGGTGATGCCATGCTAGGATGCCATCACTAACGTCAAACCACCTATGCTCGGCACGCCTTCATGTCTCGCTTTCCCCATGCTCGACACTAACCTATACTGCTTGCGTCACTGCCGCCTATCTCCATTTACCCCTCCTCTCAACGGTTAACCACTTTGATGTCCTCAAACTCAAGCGCCTCTCCCTCATCCACTAGCCTCCGCTTAACTATGCTTTAACATGCTTCCTTTCTCACCCCCTCTGACTTTCCTATTCCACCCTTGCTATACTGTTCGTGACTTTCCTGTATTAAACCCTCCCCTTTCCTCATCATCCTTACTTCCCTTTGCACACCTTACATTGCTCTGGTATACTTTCCCGTCTTCTCCTCCCCTTTTCCATCCTCATCACCCTCACATCGAACCCTCAATTACCATCCCCGCCCTTTGCTATATTACACAGCACACGGTCATGCTATACGCTTTCACTTCGCTTTGCGCACCTGCGCACACTTTAGAGCGACACCAGCTACGGACGGAAGCTTAAACGGCTGCGCTGTTTGAAATTATCGCGGTCGGGCTGATGAGGTAATTCTCGCCAATTCAGCGCAGTGAAGAGCACGCTTGTGCTTGTGAGAAGTCGCATGCCAAGCCGTTAGTGCAATGCGATTAGGAAGGTTTATATTGAATTCTCCTCTCTTGCGAGAAATAAAGTCTTGTGTGGCTCAGTACAAGCTTCGCCATATCGTCCTTGTTTTTATTGTTTATTCTCTGTTTATATCTAGTGGTATATTGTGGATAGTGTGAGTGTTTCCCATAAATAATGCACGCTGAGCCCAAATAAACTCTTAGTCGTGGTGAACATTTTGTCACGTGTCTTTGTGTCTCACGTTCACGCTGTTATTCCAACAGAAATTTCCACCAACTAGATGATGATGATGATGATGATAGTGGTGGTAGTGATGATGATGATGATGATGATGATAATGATTAAAACTTTATTTTGGTCAAGAGAAGACGCAGGGGAGACCCCGCGCCACCCGGCCAGACTGCCGAAAATCATTACTGAAGCTCATTCTCTATTATGTTTGCGCCGTAAGCAAGCGTTTCTGCATTTTAGGGTTGACTGTATGGTAGCAAGATGACGCAACTTGCCCGACAATGGGTGACTGGAACTGCCACTTCCGCTTGGCCTGAGTGATGAGCTCCACCAGTGTCTCGGAAGGACGCATGATGTAAGCCATCAGCTGGCCAAACCACCAGGCATATGGATCGCCGTGATATTTGACCAGCTCATCGGCCACGTCTCCGGGAATATTGAGAAGCGCCGCGCGGTTGGCCGACACTACAACGGGCAAAGACAAACGGCAATCATTCGCACACTTCAGTGACAAAGCCTTCTTTGTCAAATCCGGATAATCTGATCATCCCCGATCTCACTATTTAGGCAAAGAGCAAAGCTTCATCAACGGAGTAAGTTTAATGAAATGAACCACTGAAAATGGACATGGAAGTGAGCCGACACTCCCCAGAAGTACCATATCATTTGTAGTAAATTAACACGTGAGAGCTTGCACAATATCTACAGGTGTTAGATAGCTACACCACCATTTGACGTTGACGTCCCAACTAGGAGCACAGCTGTACCTATCAGGTCATCTTCCCCAACTATAGGGGCTACTAGGAGCACATGCATAGGGGCACATCTCCATATCCTAAATATTAACCATGATCATGACTTAACCCTTGTAACTGAAGCGCTTATAACACACAAATACACAGCATATGATGATTTCCACGCAAAAATGGCACTAACAAGCACATAATAATCACGGATGTTCAATATGCACTCATTCAAAGCATCTTCATTTAACGAGAGAAGAGTCAATGTGTGCACTCCAAGCTCGTTGCTGGGAATTTTTTTCGGGGAGGGGGGGGGGACTCGTTAAATATCTTGAAAAACACTATTTTATTACTTTTTCTGGGTAAAACATACCCCCTTATCCAAATTTCGGGTGGGGGGGGACTAGCTTCTTCCCCCTGGCTACGGGCATGATGCACTCTCCAGTAATAGGGTAACCTACGCCTGCGCTCATGCATACACTACCACGCTGTGCTTCAGAAATGTGAGAGGTATATAGCGGTCTTCGTTTAATCGCATGAACGTGGGAATGTGTTCCGCGTCACGCTAGCGTGTCTCTCACCGTGCCAAGACAATCACTGCGCGACATTCATCCGTCGGTGTCGTCGCCTTCCAGTGGGGCTTATTGCAGGGATTTATTAGTCAGTGCTATCACACTACAAGAATGAGACGGCGCAAAAACACAGTTCGTGCGTGTGAATACTGTGCTACAGTCGATGGGCAAACGACGCAACAACGACGTGAAAAGCCAAGCAAGCTATATTCATGCGTTACTCGAACCCGTATATATTATCAATGCGCTAACGAAAGCTCCGCACGAAATTAACATCATCGCACCATTAAGGGCACTTTGTTTTGATAATACTGAGCTTCCTTGTTCTAACATGAGCCCTGACATAGAGTTAGACCATAAGTTGCCCTTTAAATGCCGGTGCATGGGACGGTCCTGGTAAGTCCCATGATTAGCACACAACTGCTACGCCTACAAAAACACACTAGCCCACCTCGTAATGTTTCGTCAAAGTTAGAAGGGTGGCAGTTTGGGCTAGTTGGTATGACATGACGATAGTTATAGCGCGAGAACAGAACGATGACAAGAAGGAACGAGACAAGAAGGACACGAGTGCCCGTGTCCTTCTTGTCTCTTTGTCATCGTCCTGTTCTCGCGCTATAACTATTGTCATGGCTTCGTCAAAGCCGGAATATTCAAAATAGACTCGCCGATAGTTTCGCGTAAAACCGGTTCCTACAAGGCGAAGGACTTGTAGATATCTTTATTTATTTTGTGCGATGACGATTACAGACACTGGAAGCGGACGACTATGGCATAATTGCAGCTTTCCCTGCAAAATACTCACGGTTCTCCCCTGGCCATTGGGAGCGTGGCTCTGTTCTGGCAGGGCAGGCGAAACTGAGCGGCAGGAATGCGTGGTGCCACGACGAAGGCGCGTAGTGCCACGGTTCCGAGTCGACAAGCACAGGCCGGCCCTGGCTCATACCTTGCGCCAGGCACCACAGAACGTCGTGAATGGCCGAGGAGAAGCCGTACGGGTTGGCCAGACGGCAAACCAGCGCCTGCGAGCAGTTGCCCTCATTCTGGTTGCGATCGATGGCGCGACGAACCTGCGAAAACCCGTCATGCTGGGAGCTGTAGCATTCTTTGGAGACTCCATGGTATCGGGTGTTTTATTGCGATGTGAATTTCAACCGCATGAGTGCGCTTTTTCAAGCGACACGTGAGGTAGACAGCCGCTATACTGTTGGCGTGTCTCGGCGTAAGCCAGCCACATAGGAGACAAGGGATAACATAAAATTTAAGACAGACAGACAGACAGACAGACAGACAGACAGACAGACAGCAAGACAGCAAGACAACAGACAGACAGCAAGACAACAGCAAGACAGACAGACAGACAGACAGTCAGACAGACAGACAGACAGACAGACAGACAGACAGACAGACAGACAGACAGACAGACAGACAACAAGACAACAGCAAGACAGACAGCAAGACAACAGCAAGACAGACAACAAGACAACAGCAAGACAGACAGCAAGACAGACAGCAAGACAACAGACAGACAGACAGACAGACAGACAGACAGACAGACAGACAGACAGACAGACAGACAGACAGACAGACAGATAGATAGATAGATAGATAGATAGATAGATAGATAGATAGATAGATAGATAGATAGATAGATAGATAGATAGATAGATGAACGTGTGGATGGATATGCTAAATGTTGAAGAAGTTCGGCAAGAAATGCTTCGCGTTTAGTATGTTGAAGGGCTCACGTACCTTGTTTTTTAGTTGAAACAGCGCTTGGCGCTTTCGTTTGAGGATTCCGGTCAGGTGCGCCATGGTCTTCATTTCTGCAGCGAGGTGGTGTAACCTTTCCTTAGATGCTATGGACAATGCGGCAACGCGATGCTGAAGAGATTGGGGCACCTTGACTGCCACTGCACGCAGCTGATGGGCCAGGAAGCGCTGCAGTTCCTGGACGCTCAACTGCACGTGGTTGTACAGGGCCGTTGTACTGCGGAAGCCGATGAGTCGACCGTCATGCCCGAATTGACGCTGCTCACCAGCCCTTGCTTGCTGCTTGTTGGCTCGACAAGGTGCCGCAGGCGAGACCTTGGCACAGAACGAAAAATAGATCACTTGGCAGGAAGAAACTTTACAACGAAGGTAAAAGATTGGGTGATTTAGCGATCCCTCGAACGAGCAGTGTTCTCAATAGAAACAAAGTAATCCTCCAAATAAAGCTCAAAGTAGCAAATTTACGCCTTCCCTTCTCTCCGCGCTGCCAGGTTTTGTCAATCCCTCTCGCTGTTTGTTCACTTGCTACAAATGGCGCGTACTTGTACAAAACGGTTGAGCCCCGTTGATGTAGTTGCTACTCCTTTAACACTTCACAGTCTGCAGTAGCAGTGCTTGAGTAGAGTGCCGTTGCAGCAAATTTTTCAACTGTCTACTTCTGTAACGTGTCCTTCACGTAACTAGAACCACTGAAACCCCCCTCCCCCCCCCAAAAAAAAAAACGTGGTGTTGAATGAAACTGAAGATATGAATTGTCGTCATGTGTAGTTGGATTGGGTATTCTTCATAGTGCGCTTTTTAGTCAGGGGGGCATTCAACATTTTAGGGGCGAAGCTCCTTAAGGCGTGAGTCGTGCGTCTCCTGTATGTAGTAGCCACCTCTCGTTTTAGCCCTTAGAATGTCCGCTGGATGGCGGTACTTGCACATGATGAATATATGATGAAACTTAGATGTGAGATGGCGGTACTTGGAGTGTTCACTAAATGAATGGACGGACGGATGGACGGACAGGCAGACGGGCAGGCAGACAGACAGACGTGGCCAACGGATGATTCACGGTTTGCCTATAAAACCCTTCGAAGCTTCGCCCCACTGATCATCATCCACTCCGTGGATATGCTACGATTTTTTTTCTTAGCGTGCACGGTCTGAAAACGCAGCCGATCGGCCGACGAGACTCCTTAAAACACCCGAGCTAAATATCATGGCGCAGCACGTGGCCTGGAGAGCTAATCCTCAAATTCAGCTAGAAATCATTCCATTTTCTTTCTACAAATGATTGCATATATCATGCAGAACTAAGGAAACATAGAGCCCACGGACCTTTCGATAGCGGTCCGCGGCTTCGCAAAGAATAAGGTTTAATTATCTCGCAAAATGATATTCGCACAGTTTTTTGGCCATTGCGATTAATATAGCTTTGTTCAGGTAACTTACATAAACGAAACTGGTCTCAACAAAAAAAAAACGTAGATGCGAAGCAGCGGGCACAAACGCTTACACTGGCGGTGGTGTTGACGCTGGCGCTCATTGTGGTATTGCACAGTCGAGAAACCTGGCGAGGTGCAAAGCACACAGTGATGGACCGGTGTTTCCTGCTGGAACAGGCCAATCACTGCTAATGGGCAATGAGATAAAGTTAACTCTGATTGGACAGATACCAATGTGCAAGGGGGTGTAAACACTGCGGGAAGAGGTGCCTAGAGGAGAAAGAGGGGGAGCGAGCGTAGACCAGCAGACGCTGTCTGCGTCGGCGTTGCATTGTGAGAGGGGAAGCATAGCAAATGCGGGGTAGGGGACGCGCCTGAGCAGTGAGGGTGGTCACGCCACACACCGGATTAAGCTCGGCCACAAAACGCTTCAGTAAAATTTATTCATTCTTCGCGAGGCAAGCCATGCCGTTGAGTTAAAACATAACCGCTGAATGAAAACTGTGTTTCAGAATAGGTGTTGAGATTTTGGTCATTGCGGATGCAGTATCGATATGCTTCTCGAAACCTGGCATCAAACGTTATTCAGAAATGATGCATATATGAGATATGAGAAAATCGTTCCGTCAAGTATAGCAATGTTAGGTGAGATTTTTCTCTATCTCCCCCTCCCCTTCCCGTTAAAAAATACTAATTAATAGCCTCTCAAAGCACTAAAATTCGTGACTGCAGACCGCTAGATGAGTTGTGTTGGAGAACCCTGCCATGCACTAAAATGACTACCAACACGCCATGCACTACCAACACGCCCAATCCCACTGTCTCTTGTGCACTGAAATGACCACGATGTTTACTTAACCAGGCCCCATAGTAGAAGCAGGGGTGCAAGAAGACGCATAAAAACAGATTCATAGAATATACTGACACCGGTGCAAGCTTCCATTAACATGTGGCAAAAATTATGTCGGCCAAAGTGGACGGTGAGTCTAAGGGCATTTCAAGGAACACCAGTACAACGTGAACAACAACAAAAAAAGAGTTCCTGGATGCCCACTGCAGGCACTATAGTAATTCCGGTGCATATGACGATGTTAATACCAGCTGCGTGCCCATTTTGCAGCACCAGCAGAGGTCAGCTAACTCGCGAATTATCGAGCCTGAATGTATTGATAGACAGCCATATAAGCGTGTTTTCAACTTATCCATTGCGCTTTCCTCTCAGGCGTTATCCTCTCTACTCAAAGATAGCTGAGTTTTGAAGAGTGCTTATGAGGAAGATGGTTAAAAAGCGATGTTGCCATGTGCGGCTCCCTGTTTTCGAAATAAACATTGTTGAAAGTAAGCGTCTGCGTGTGTCACGTATTTCTCAGTCTGTATTTTTCGTGGGTTATAAAACTTCCGTACACCTATACATTTCACGGCCATTGGCTGAAGGAGCATCGTGAATTGCATAATTGCCGTGGCCGCGTGGGTGAAAAAAGAAGTGTTCATGGTGATGACGCGCGCTTCTAACTTCTGTGCCCCGTGTGATCCCTCCCTGAACTTCCAGCACGGTCGTTGGGACAAGAAAATTGCGAAAGCGCTTGAAGCGAGCGAGAAAGTTCTGACTCACTCTTAATGAGAAATTCTAAAAAAAAATAATCTGAAAGCTGCTATGATTTCACAACAGTACCATTTGTATCCGCCTGTGACCGTTATTGCGCAAAAAGCAGTGAAAAAAAAAACATCTTTTATCCATCTGTCATAGGAATCGGTAAAACACGAAAGTAGCACGCGTCTTTACAGTAGTTTATTGTTCACCGTACATTTATTTAGGAGAGCTTGCGCAATATCTAACGTTCTTTGACAGATATAACACTGCTTAACGTGGATGCATCCTCGTTATCGCTTAGTCATACATCTTCATCCCGACGACTATACCATCTATCAATAATGGTTAAACAAACCTTCGTGAGGTGAGTGTAGAACCAGAGAAAGCAATATAAGTCAGAAGAACGCGACTCATTGGACGCCGAATTTGGGCTAAAGTCGCCTACTCTCGGCCTGTTGGAGTTACTGAACGCTACAACCCGACCAGAAGGAAACCTAATGCACGTGTGTCTTGTCTGTTGCCATGATTTTTCGCGGGGCGAGCGTAAGCTGTGAATGCGGAAGCTGAGGTCAGCATCCGGACTGTTCGGAGTAAGTACATCCAGACTGTCGTAGTTCACTACAGACGGCTTTTCGTAGCGACTAACCGGAGCTGTAACGTTTGAACACAAGATATATTGGGTTTCTTATTACCGCTTCATCGTCGCCGACGGCCGACTGATTCGCCGCCGCCGCTTCTGGGTTGAAAGCCAGCAAAGCTGGTGCCGCGCACAGTCCGCGCCACCCGTTTCTCGCCGTAGGCTGCAGGGCAACGTGCGCAACACGCCACATCGCGGCGGCGCCATCGAGGAGAAGGGCGTGCATAGTAATTAGGTGCGGTGGCGCCATCTAGTTCAGCGTAGAAAAACTAGCTGCGGAAAATTCGTCTACAATTCAGACGAAGCAGGCGCGCTGCTCTATACGATGCAGAGCTATTTGTTTGGCATGGATGAATGCTATGCGTGACACCGACGCTTGGGGTAAGATCGCCCCTGGGGGTGTGTTGGCATTGACGAAATTGGATACTTCAATTAGAAACGCGCCGAATAAGACGGACGCTTAGAAACAACGCTTTGAAGGAACTAATTCCGAATGTCACGGTCGTGATGCACTACCACACTTTACTCGGAACGCTGAGAGGACTGTAGTAGATTTGAAATGCGTATTTTTAAGGGTCTGACGTAAGTACCAGTGGCGCAGTGGCTGGTGTTTCCTGCCATTTAATGTTTTGAAATACTATTGGTGTGATGTCCTATCCACCATGCCAGAAACCAAGACACTTATCCCAGTTGACAGTACTATATCTTACCCGCCAAAAGTTTTCACAGCATTCACAGTATGCATTATACTCTCATAATTTTACAGAAAACTGCAGTGTCATCTGCGTAAGCAGGAGCCCGTCGTCAGCTTCACGCAATTTAAAGCTGCGTGTTGTGCTGTTATCAATTACGCTTACACTGAAAGGTCCAGTAAAAATAGCGAAAAGCATGGACGATAGCAGACAGCCCTCTCTCAGTGACCGCAGCGCAGGTATACGCTCAGTCGCAGTTTTATTTATTACCAACCCTGTCGTGCATCCTAAGGAAACCATTCGTACTCCGTGGTTGATCAAACTCCCTGCATTCACGTATTCATAAATGAAAGGAGCAAGTCGTGCGGCACGAGGTAAGGCAATAGAAAAATTGGCCCCGTATCTGCATGGTAATCTGCAAATGTCGTTGAAGTCTTGCGTGTGGAGAGAGTGAACAAAACATTTATTTGATGTTCTGCGCAAGAAAATCGGTGAATGGTATTCTGGAGGCGCTGCGTTAGAGTGCCTCGAGCGTGCAGCGGAGGCGAACAAGCGCGTCAAGTCACGTCACACGTTAGACATGAGCGCCATCTGGCAGTTTTCTTGGAAAACGAAGCGCGTCGCTCTGAGACGGGTGTGCGTGCCCGTCTCAGAGGTGATAAGGTGTAGAACGCAAGGCGACGGATAGGTGCCGTCACCGTCTCGTCTTAGTAAAGCGTTGGAAAATATAACATGTATATGCAGAATAACAACATGCATAACACATGCATATGCATAACAACATGTATATGCAGAATATATACATGTTGTTATGGTGCTGCAGACATGCGCAATAATGGCTTTTTAATTGACAATCACACAAATCTGAACGCTGAATCTTGAGCAACATTGGTGGGCGCTGCGGATGGGGTCGGCCGTTTTAAGTACCTGTAGCCGTTAAGAGTGGACAAACAGACAAATGCAAAGACAGACAGACAGACAGACAGACAGACAGACAGACAGACAGACAGACAGACAGACAGACAGACAGACAGACAGACAGACAGACAGATAGACAGACAGACGGACCAAATTTTTGCGTTGAAGGTCCACAAGAAAGACTATAGTCTTTAAAGGTGACCGTGGCGTAGTGGATAGCATGCCCGGCATCTGTCGCCGTGGATCCAGAGGTCACGTATTCTACTCCCGGTGACGGAACCTTTTGCTTTGTCTCCTGGTGTACGTACTTTTTCGACGCCACTTCCATAACGGAAATACGTCATTGAAGCCTTGGTGTGCCCCGGCATTAATCACTTTCATGTTAAAAAGAACACGAAACGACAGAACAATTACTCACAATCAGATGCAATTTGAACACGGCTCTCTTTGTAGTGTAGTCGAGTATTAGACCACAAAGCCACGCTGGTGCTTGAAACTACTTTGCAAAAGTAACCTATACACGCGAGGAACCACGTTAACACATGTGACGAAGCGTGATAGAAGCGCAAAGCAACGCCGAGGTATCACTCACTGCGAATTGTGCAATGAGAGCTTGGTTTGAAGTTTCGCAGCCACTACAAAGTCTTGTCATATTTCATTTTCATCGTCGACCACACCAACCAAGCATACCCGTTGCCTTACATATGTGTAGCGCGTACCTCACTTAACCGCAGAATGACGAATGATGGCGTAGTGGGTGTTTTCCTAAATCACCAAAATCACGTTTTATGACGTATATTCCTTGCAGGTGTACCTGAATTAGTCTCCCCAATAGTGTTTAGAAGAAGCCCTAGAAAGATCACTCTCCAAGCTTTCACTGAGCCTGTGCTGCGTGTTCCGCACACGCTCAGTGGCTTTCTTATTTCTTTGTTTTCTTTTTTGTGGAAGTCGATTTGTGAGGCAATAATGTCGTTTAATGGGGCCACTGAATGGTTACACGAGGAATGCTGGCAGGGCCCCTTCAACTAAGATGAATTATCCCAATTTTAAAAATTTTCATTATAGAGTAAGGTTCGTGTATAGAGAATACGGCGCATACAACTGTGACCGAAAACCATTCACCAAAAACGACGCAACCATTCACCAAAAAAAAAAAAAAAACGGCGCATTCTTTTAGGGATTGAATCGCCCGCTTTATGGCCACTTTTTCTAGCCTTTAAAGAAAGACAGCAATATATGAAGTAGAATCTCGTGACTGCACTCAGTGCTCTACTAAACCCCTCGATCTTTATGTGCTACCGTGTGCAGTGGTCTCAACCATGCTTCGAGCGAAAGAACAATGCACAGAAACGGTGCCTAAATGAGCAGCCGCAACTCGTTTAGGCATCAACATTACTGCGTGTCAGCATTGATGGCGTTGGCAAGGAAGCATCATTGACCCTGAAATTGATTGATTGATTGATTGATTGATTGATTGATTTATATGTGGGGTTTAACGTCCCAAAACAACCATACGATTATGAAAGACGCCGTAGTGGAGGGCTCCGGAAATTTCGACCACCTGGGGTTCTTTAACGTGCACCCAAATCTGAGCACACGGGCCTACAACATTTTCGCCTCCATCGGAAATGCAGCCGCCGCAGCCGGGATTCCAATTCGCGACCTGCGGGTCAGCAGCCGAGTACTTTAGCCACTAGAACCAGCGGCGGGGCAGATGGAAAAAAAGACAGACAGACAGACAGACAGACAGAAGACAGACAGACAGACAGACAGACAGAGAGACAGATAGATAATGATAGATAGATAGATAGATAGATAGATAGATAGATAGATAGATAGATAGATAGATAGATAGATAGATAGATAGATAGATTAGATAGATAGATAGATAGATAGATAGATAGATGCGGGTGTATGCGGGTTGTATATAGTTCTTGGCTCGCTGAGGAATGTCTTGCATTTATATATTGACCTAGGCCAGCCATGTATAGTGAAAAAGAAACGACACCCGGTGGTATGGGAAAAACAGCCGAGGACGGCATGGTCGGGTGATGACATGTAATTTGCAGTCGTAAAATAGATTCAACCCATACGAGACACGGGAAGTTGTTCATTGGGAGAAGCCTTGGTCCTGCCTTCCATGCAACATAGGTTCTATGGTATCAGTACAAAGGGCTTGTAAACGATTACGACGACCAGTATAGGCATCGCAGTCGACATATAGCGAAGCTCTGGGTGCAATCAGGACGAAGACGAGTGCTGTGAGTGACTACAGACGTTCAAGTGTCTTACCAGACAGGTGGCTCCGACTGAAGAGGAAGAATGCCGTACATCTCCAACGACAGCCTAGTGGCGTTTGTGTGGCCCGACTTCAGACGAGCTTGCAACAAGATCCAGATGCCCAACGCGAATGGAAGCAAAATCAACACCATGCATCCTCGTTGCATGACACGCCGCATGGCACAAGAGTGGACCGAGTGAGCTGTTCGCTTTTGTCCTGCGCGTCCTGGCCGACCGGAAGGAAGACCCGCGCCAAATGGGCCATCCTTTTTGTTGTGACTGCACGCATGGCGATTTTGCTGAAAGTCAGCTTGGACAAGGTGGCGCGAATTCGAAAAGTCAGAAGGCAAGCGGTCTTGGGATGAAAAACTTTGGGGATCTTCTCACACCATTAGCATAAATCGGGAACCCCAAGAGCTGGGAAAAAAGAAAAAAGTAAATCAAGCTACTGCGCGGAAGAGAATGAACAACTGTAGGAAGCCATAGAGCTCACTGCCACAGATCGACCCGAGAAAAATGTAAGAGAGCACTTAGAGAAGCACCGCAAGGACGTTGTGCATGTGTAAAAAGTAAGTACTCTATTTGAGCCCCATTGCTCACATGAAGCAGCCTCATGCTTTGGACTATAGTGTGTGCCTCTTCCATGTAAAGTGTAAAGAATTGCTAGACCCTGCATACAATGTTGCACGCGTGAAAGTGGAATGGCAATACCTTGCTTGACATTTGTAAATAGTTACAAATAGGACTGTTTAATTTAGTTTAGTGATGTTGCAACTGTCGTGTGTTTCAGTGTTACATTATGCCTTTTGCTGCATTACGCTACGTTTTGAGGACGACGCAGCGAGCAATGGAAAGAAAAATGGTTGGTGCAAACTTCAGAGACAAGAAGAGAGCAGAGTGGATTAGGGGACAAACGGGGGTTAAGGATATCATAGCTGAAATCAAGAAGAAGAAATGAACATGGGCTGGGCATGTAGCGCGTAGACAGGATAACCACTGGTCATTAAGGGTAACTAACTGGATTCCCAGAGAAGGGAAGCGGGTTAGGGGGAGACAGAAGGTTAGGTGGGCAGATGAGATTAAGAAGTTTGAGGGTATAAATTGGCAGCAGCAAGCACAGGACCGGGTTAACTGGCGGAACATGGGAGGGGCCTTTGTCCTGTAGTGGGCTGATGATGATGATGATGATGATGATGATGATGATGATGATGACATTCAGTCGGGATGCCTGCTTTCAAAACACTGCCATGTCACATGCGATAACAGACGACGCTCGGTGCGTGTATCGTGCCTTCGCGCGAATCAGCGCTGAACTCGCGTGCGCTCGATCAGCTTCAAATAAAAAAAAATAAAAGGTTCC